CAATCTGTAAAAGAAAAACTCAGGTCTGAATTGAATTATTATTGACATTTATTTGGGATGGATGTGAATTAAGATCAACTGCTGAAGACAGTTGATCTTAATTCCAAGTAAGCATGCATGGGGCTGTGTTGTTGATGGCTTCTTATACAGTCTCAAGCTAGAAACACAATGTAATGTGTATAGAATTAGATCATAACTTGGTTCTTCATAAAATCTTTCTGGTATATTTCAGAAGATTGTAATGGAAGAGGAAGTTGGAGACTACAAATATGACTGGCTATAAAGATAAAACTTCTCAAATCAGTTTTTAGCACTAATGCTTATTTGATGGCTTATTCATGAGATTTGAATTTCAGATCTACCAAATTACTAGCCAAGACACAATCAACTTGATTAGTAGGTTGATTAATCAGTATAATTTTGTATATTCAGCACAGCTGCAGTCTGATGAAGGAAGTTTGGTCAATTCATTCTGTGAGTGTAGTGCACACCTGGGTAAAGTGCGGCCCAAGGGCCACATACGGCCCGCCAGACATCAAAGCCATTTATAGCTTTTTGTCTAAAGTTGATCAGTTTATCTTTAACATACCGCAAAAAACCTCTTCAGTATTTGTGAAGATTAACAAGTTTAAAATAAAAACAATCATAACATCACTGTTTCATTTTATTTTTAAGTTAAGTTGGTTCAGCCCCCGAACACAGTTCACATTTTTCATGTCCCCCCCCCAATAGAAATTAATTGCCCACCCCGGTGTAGTGGGTTACAGTTTTACAGTATATGCATAAACCCTTTTTTAAGTTAGGGAGCTTTGATATAATTTAGTATTCTTGAAGCAAATAGGTTGAATTTTTAATATCCTAATTAATCTTAATATTACTATCAAGTGAACTTAAATTAGTAATGGCTAACATTTTAATTTGATTTCAGTGGGATTTCTACAGATAGATTGGATACAGTCTTTCACTTTAAATAATATAGTTATGTTGTAGATCAAGGGTCCCCAACCCCGGGTCCGTGGCCCAGTGCCAGTCTGTGGCTATGGCAGGACTGGGTCACTTAGAGAGATCCGCTCCCCCCCGCATGCGCTCCCCCCCACCCAGATGCA